CTCATTCCATGTTAAATATCGGCCCGGTCCAAAGAATCCTTCAGACTATCTATCTCGTCATCCATGCACTGCCACAAACACCAGAAATTACCTTGAGAATATAGCTGAAGAGCATGTTTGCCTGATTGCTGAAAATGCCATACCTGTTGCTATGGATATTGCTTGTATCAAGGATGCAACCAGACAAGACCCCACTCTTAGTAAAACCATAGAATTCATTCAAACAAATAACTGGACTGCTCTTGAGAAACAAGACAAAATGTCTACAGGAGTTAATATTGATGAATTACATGCCTTGTATGAACTACGAGATGAATTGACTGTGTCATCAGATGCCGATATTCTACTTCGAGGAAACCGAGTTGTCATACCAACTAAACTGAGGCCCAAGCTGTCAAATTGGCACACGAAGGCCACCAAGGTCTAGTTAAAACTAAATGCTTAATCCGAGAGAAAGTATGGTTTTACCAAATTGATTCACATGTTGAAGAGTGCATTAAAAAGTGCTTACCTTGCCAATCAGTCACTCGACCAAAACGCCCTGCACCACTGAAATTGATTCAGATCCCAAAGCATCCATGGGATACCGTTTATGTAGATTTTCTCGGCCCATTTCCAAGTGGAGAATTACTTCTTGTGGTAATTGATGGTCGAACACGCTTCCCTGAAGTAGAAATTGTTAAGAGTACATCTGCAAGTTCTACCATCCCTCGACTTGATCGGATTTTTTCAACACATGGTTTACCAAAGAAAATTATCACTGACAACGGCCCACCTTTTACAAGCTATGAGATTCAGAAGTTTATGAATGATAATAAGATCCATCATCATAAGATAACACCACTCTGGCCTCAAGGCAATGCAGAGGCTGAGAACTTCATGAAACCTTTAAAGAAATGTATCCAAGCTGCTCATGTTGATCATAAAAACTGGCGCAAAGAAATGTATCAATTCTTATTAAACTACAGATCCACTCCACATTCAACAACTACGGTTCCACCAGCTACTGCTTTGTTTGGACGTTCCATTCGCAATAAGTTACCGTCAGTTACTGAAACACTCCCAGACATGAAGTATATCAACGAAACAATAGATACCGCTGATCAGAATGCCAAGTGTAAACGCAATGAATATGCTGATAAACGCCGACATGCTCGAATACCTCAACTCGCTGTTGGAGATTGTGTTTTAGTGCGGCAAGAGAAACAGAATAAGTTGACACCACATTTTGACCCAAATCCATATACCATAACGGCTGTAAAAGGAACCATGATTACAGCTACGAGAGCTGATCATTGCATAACTCGGAACAGTTCACATTTCAAGTTATTCACGGGAGGTGCTACAAATCAAGGAGAAACAAGTGACAACAAAGTTGAGGGACGAAATGAAAATGCTAGAGAGAGAGAGAGAAATGTAGTTGTTGAAAACAGAGATGAAGGCAGACGACAATATCCACGAAGACAACGGAAAAGACCAGAATTCTTTCATGATGGACAACGATAAGTACAAGACTATAATACTATGCACTTTAATTTAAAGGACTTAATAGACATTGATATTTGTTGTGTTATGTTAAACAACCGAACAGTTTCTAGGTTAATATCAACAAACGTTATATTATCTTAAATACCAAGGCGGGGAGAGATGTAGTGTCCTTGTAGTATCAGGTGATCATGTAGTCACTTGATATAGCCTCATGGAGGAGAATGTAAGATGGCGGTTTATTAACAAAGTGTGTTTACAACACCTAGGATTCTATAAGAGCATGGAATTTTCTTCCTAGGGATACAAAACGTTTATAGGTAGCAATGAAAGTATTAAGAAAGCGATTATAGCTCATTTTGTGAGGAAGATGGACAGCTATGAACTACATTGTAAACAATAATAACTTGAAAATAACTAATTGTAACTTATGTGGTTGTATATTTATATATTTTATCTTGTAGTTTTCCTCACATACTTGTAAGTTGGCAGTCCGCTTCAATTGGGGCTTAGGTCTGTTGCTCTTTTTCGCTACAAAGCCCCTCCTCTTAAACCCCCTCCTCTCTTGCAAGAACTACTTCTCCTCTATCTCCCTCCTCTCCGTTAAAATTGCCCCTCCCCCGTTCTTCATTAGGACAACCCTCTCCATTAGGTAATTAACTCATACTAACTAGTCATTTTTACCAGGCTGGCTTCAAAAAGATTCAGAATTCACCACTGACAATGATCACATAAACAGAAAAGTTTCACTCTGGCAAGGAGATATAACACAGCTTGAAATTGATGCTATTGTGAATGATGGTAGGTTTCCTAGCTAGGTTTCCCAATGTGGATAAACCAGGAAGCATTGTTACATTTCTCAAGCTTTGAGCAACTGAGCGTGAGAACATCAATTTTGGCAATAGGAAACATAACTCGGAGCTTGACGGCTTGAGATCTGATAAATAAAACAGAAATGAAAATGTTATAGAAAAGAGACACCAGGCCTGGCCGTAAATATTTGGGCAGGCGCGCGGCGTATCGCGCGCCATATTAGAGACCTTACGATTTTAGGACGGCAACGCGACGGCAACGGCTACCAATACAATAGATTATTGAAAAGTATTGAGTAATTACAATAAATGAATAATTTAGACATTGTCCTCGCTCTGTTTACAACGCCAAATCACAGATTTTCACGTGTTGATACAACGGCTGCATTCCAAGCCACAACAAGTGCAAATTCAAACTGGGTTTAGCAGAACTCTTCGCAAACATAAAACCCATGTCTTCAACTTCAAAAACTGTATTAAATTCACACGATTGATAATATACGACCAACTATCGATTACCATTTATTTGAAGGAGTTTGTTTTGGCCGTCGCCGTCGCGGTTGCCGTCCTAAAATCGTAAGGTCTCTATTAACGTCAGGCGCGCGATTAAAAAAGCTGTAAAAATTACGCTTATTGGCTATACAGACAAGAATAACATTCACAAAAATGATTGAAAATTTATGTAGAACAGAACAATTTTAACATTGGAATTTAGACGAAATTAGTATAGGCATTATATAAAATGTTTGTACCGGTGAATACGTGTATTTACGATAAAACATCGTACTTTAAACATCAATAAAAATCTCAACATTGCTTTCCGACTAGCTTGACGAATCATCGTTATCGTCAATGGTTATGGCGTCGTTCTCAATTCTACACTTTTTTAACAGAATTTCTTCATCCACGGTGTTGCTGTCGAGTTTGACTTTGCGTCTTTTTCTCCTTGTGAAATTCTAATGCACGTTGAAGATTCTCCTTATGCTCCTTCGCCGACCAGCATGCAGTTATCATTTCATTTTATCAGCATTAAATCAGTCATTCTTTTATAACTAGTCTAAATGGCCAGGATTTATTCTGGCAAAAATTCATTTAGAATAAAAAAACCAGACGCGCGATTTCGTACTCTTAAAACAAACGAGGCGCGCGTTAAAAGGCGCGTCTCGAGGAGTCAAGGCGCGTGCGGAGGCGCGCGCGCGCGATCGCGCGCCTCAAACGGCCAGGCCTGATTATTTTAGACTGTCTGTCTGTCTGACACTTATTAAATATGGTGGATAAATATTGTAAAAAGATACTGGGAAAAATTGAAATTTTCTACTACAGTATACTAGCGTGCACAAGATCTTTTGACCCAGGTTTGCATATAGCTTCAGTCACTTGGAGGTAATGCAGTAGCCTGCATGGCAGGCGGATTTTAGGGAGGCCGTTAGCCTGCATGGTAGGCGGTCTAAAATACCGCCTGCTGGGTTTGGCAGTGTAATTTGATAACCGCCCACTTTTTTGTCCGGGTCCAATTAGCCAATCAGCAAACACTAAATATATTAAAAATCAACTGTCCAACTATGTTATTGTTTGGTCGCAAAATTTCAAATGTATAAAAATATGTCGAAAGAAACGCCATTGAAAGTTTCATTCAGGACTTCTGAATAACGACAAGAGGTAGAAAAGCAAGGGCGGAAAATGTAAATGACCACTGTCATTTGTGTATTAAGTGTGCTTTGAAACTAAAATACGGGGCAATAGAGAAAATATCTTATATTCTTATATATCGTCGGAGAAATTATTTATTTAAGGCAAGCAAAAGAAACGTTACGACAGTGGCAAAACCTTGGCCGAAATAAGCCGAATTGCCGGTCAGTTCATTTAGAAATCGAAGTTATCCGACCGAGTTTCTAAACCGTGTGAGCGAAATATCCGAAATGCAAACGAACTGATTGCCATAATCAAACGAGACATAAACGCGTTGCCTGTGTACGTTCGAACAAATAGACCGTTATATATTAAAAACCTCAGTTGCCGATATGAACTGTCTCGTCTCCCTAACGAAGCCGTGTGGTAACGAAAGCCTTAAGGGAGCGGTCATTAAGTATGTGCATTGGGGAGGGGGGGGGGGGTGGAGGCTATTTTATAAAATTAAAAAAATGGTTCATTCCCCACCCATCCTTTCAAGAAATTACTTGGCACCCCCTCAAATAATCGGAAAATAATTTCATGCCCCTCCTTGAATTTTTAATACAAATAAAAATTGATTTTACAAATACCAATCTGTTGAAAAGAAGAATATCATCTGCAGAGCAAGAAGTAGTCTCCTGCGTAGACGTTGCCTCGGCCACTAACAACGTCTGCACAAGAGGCTAAGCAAGAAGCCGAAGCAAAACGACAGAGGAGGTCAGCTAAAACAAATGCAAGGAAATCAACAAAACAGAAAAGAGACAGGTTTCAGAGAAAGGTAGAAGAAGTGATGAAGTTGCTCACTAAAGGCAAGTTCACAAAAGACATGAAGAAAGAAGGCAATACAATTTGTCTACAGGATATCAACAAGACCGGCAAGTTGGTAGCCAAAGTCCATTCCAAGGTAATGTGTTAAAACAGCAGCTTCAGAGAACCAAGGATGATAATGAAATGAAGAGAAAAAAGGTGGCCTCTGCAAGAGGACAGCCTAGTAGCTCTAATTGTGTTGTTGTTTAGTCAGATTCTGAACTGAAACTAGTGATGAAAGCAGCTGAATATGGAAGCTGCTTTGTGCTAGACATATCACATGTAACATTTATATTTACTTCTGTTTTGGGAAGGTGTTCAATTTGTAACAATTTATTCTGGCCAATGCCAGATACTCTATTTGCAAGAGTGGCCGCGTACAACTATTAAAGATGCACACTTGCCTTAATGGTTTATAAACTCTATAGATGTATTTTTGTTTCAAGCCCCTTTGCTTTTTATAAAATTGGGCTCACGCCCCTGCTAGGAAGAAAGATTTTGCTTCATGACCCCCAAATAGCCTCCACCCCCCCCCATTACACATACTTAATGACCGCTTCCTAAAAAGTTCAGAAAGTGAAGCGGCTAATAGGCCTAGGCGTAATAGTCCTGTTATAAAACCCGTTGCAAGAAAGACTATACGGCCGTCTGTATCTATTCTCGTTATATTTTCTCGCGCCAACAAGAACAATGTAAAAATCAAGCTTTCCCATAGAACGGCCAAAACATTCTTTCCAAGGAGTAAATCTTTAACTGCTATCTCTTGCTCGCGTTTGACAATCAGTTCGCGTTTCGACTTTCGAGAGGCGTTCAGTTTTGCAACAGCTATTAAAGCGAACGCATGCATCATTAAAGTGTTAAACGTATGTTTACATATTAAAGTGTATTCACTTTTGAGTGACAGCGGCTCAGACTCGCAGCCAATCATCAATTCCCGTCCACTGGTGGACTGGGAATTCGATTACACTGCCAAACCCAGCAGGCGGTCTTTCCCAGGCTTGCCCGATTTTAGGGACTAGGAGGCCGTAGGAAATACCGCCTTCCGCAAAACTGGGTGTAAATGAACTACCGCCCCTGACAGCGGCAAAGCTATTTATAAATGTCATTAGTATAGGTAATCACACGGGAAGGAGTGCAATTAATGATT